GTCAAAATTAAAATTTTACCAAATTTCGATATTTACACTACTTAGTTCAAACTAAAAAGCGATTTAAGACTATTACCGTCGTATTTTCAATAAGAGGACACTCCTACATGTAGTGCTGTAAAAATATGGGTCTGATTAACAGTAAGGCCGAAACACAGCGTTCAAAGGACTGGTTAAAAGTTTTTAGGGCAGCCAGATGCAAACCAGCTCCTTTTAAAATTGAAGAGGTTGTTCAAAGCATGGTTCGGGTTTCAGGACTAAAATAGTTTTCTCTCTTTCAAATACACCAAAAGTTTTCATTTTTGTTCAAACCGATTTAATATTTGAAAGTTTTTGCCAATCATCTCCGTATGATACCTATTTTACCGCGATTCATATAATGGAAATTGAACAAGTACTATCATGGCTCTTCCATCCCGACGTCAAATTCGAAGTCCGCCGCTTTCGGCCAGAGAGTTTTTATATCCGCACCAGCTTATCTTGGTAAGTCTGCTAGCTTGCATAAATCATCTAAACTAATAATATAATAAAGGAAAAATGATGTGTAATAACACGTAATAATAATTTTTACGCTCATTCGTATTATTAAAGTAGTTTTGCTAATAATATTAAATTTCTATTATTATTATTACAGAGCCTTTGCCGATTACACTGGAAATATACAGAAATCTTCAGGAGCTGATGGAATTTTGCGACGACTATGTTCATTATTATGAAAATTTGTCAAAAACAGAACTAGTTAAGACCTTACCAAGGCAGCTGCTAAGACTGCAATGACTTCGACCAGTACTTCATCTAAAGCCTCAACCAAGACCTCGATCAAAACATCGGCCAAAACTTTGTCTAAGGCCAGGATCAAAACTTCGACCAAGACTTCGACCAAAACTTTATCCAAGGTCTCCAAGACCTCAACGTAAACCAAAAAACAGTGATAAACGAAACTAGAAGTTATATCGTTTTTTCACTGTACTTTATGTATTGTTTTTTTATAAATTTAGGTACAAAGTATTTTAAACCAAAAATACAAGACAAAAATATACCGGTCTCAGATTTTATAAAAAAAATCAAAATATATTTACCCGATTTCAACCTGTTGTGTTTCAAATTTAAAATCGCGTTATCTCAAAACTATTTAAAATGGACATTGCATGTTTTTTACTTCCCTCAATAAAAGGGGAAGTATTTTAATCGCGAAAAGTCACCCTCCGAGATTATTTAAAATTTTCACGTTTCAGGGTCCCTAGATTACGAAAAACATGTTTCCCCATTCCATCGGTCTGTATGTCGTCTGGCGACTGTCTGTTGGCGTGATTGCTCAAAAACGGCTTTAGAGAAAAACTTTTGTATACAGATAAATAAGGTTTCTTTCTGGCTCAAAACCAGTTAAGCCTTGGTTTCTTTGAACACTTCGTCGCGGTGAGCGGACAGTCGCGTTTTGACGATTTTATCCAACCAGAGTATTTAAATGGGAATGGTTTTCTTGAATCCGCTTAGCTGAACAGGACGGCGTAATGCCGCTGATTTGTCGAGAAGAGTCGGTTGATATCGGTTGAGTTTGATATCAGCGGAATCGTCGGTGTGTGCGGAGACTATATTGTTATTAATTTTAAAACAATATGAGTGACAAATTTACACATACAGATGACATCATGACTTTATTTTTAGGTTTCTTGGAAATTATGTCCTTTATAAAACTCAACACGAATTCAAAAAGATCTGTAGAAAGTCTAAAATACTCTCTAAATTTGGTTTCATTTCCAAAAAGCCTCCGCTGCACAGTGATATTAAAGGCACCTTCTGTATCGCGACACAAAAACAACTCATTCACTGGCTTATTGGAAACTATGACGGTTGCAATTGCCAGTTCCTCTTGTTCTTTCTCTTCCAACAATAATAACAACGCAAACAATTTATTTGCATCCATTTTTAGTACCTTTCGTTTACATTCATAATACATAAACAGCACGTACAGACATAGAGAAAGATAATTTTCTATATTTTTTAACAGACCACATCGGGCGAAAATTGCTGTCCTCAGCAGTCGACGGACTGTCCGCTCACTGCGACGGAGTGTTCAAAGAAACCAAGGCTTTATACTTCCGGTCAGTTATATATAGGGTGAGCAGTTTGAAAACATATTTTTAAAAGTCCGCAGATTTAGACTAAGTATTTTAAAAGTCAAACATAACAAATGATAAATAACTTTTTAAAAATTTAAAACGGAATTAAAAGGAATCGTATTTAATCAAAAAAGTACCCAAATGGAAATAATAATAACTGTCTTTTTGCTTCCTGTAACTGAACCAGTTTAAAAGCAGCCAATCATTATCGTTTAATAACGTTCCCCTTGATCCGACCCGAACTCGCACTTTGCGTTCGCTCTGTGTTCTTTGTCACGTTCGTAAAAGTTAGTGCTTAGGAGTTCTCTGTTTTTATAATTTCTATATCTGGGTAAAATACTTTACCGATTTTTCTGGTGTTTTCAAACATTAAAAAGTCATTCTGTGGAAGTGGCTAAAAACAAATGCAAATTATTATTTTTCTTGATGGTTCGTTATATTTTTTAAAACAAAATTTGATTAATTTCTTAAATAATTAAATTTTAATTTCCAATACTTATCCAAATGTGAGATCAATAGTTGGATATCCCCAAAAACATAATATTTTAATGTTTTTATATTATTTTATAGTTGTTTTAGCAAAGCCTCTAATTTTGTAACTGATAAAAATCTTTTTGTATAATGTTAATTTATATCTATTCATTTGACAGATTTTGATCAACTGACTGTGTTTTAGGAACAACATGGCGTTTCCAACCAGATTTCTTTCGTATGTTTTAACGTTTGCATTGGGAGCAGCAACTACAGTATCAGCGTATTATATTTATAAACATGTGGAAGAAGAATAAATAATGTATTTTTAAATTATGGTTTATCTTCAACAGTTGGCGGAAATTATTTTAACTAAATGGAATCTGAACATAGCAATTCTTTTATTAAGTTTAAATTAAAAAGTATGATCAAAAGGAATATAAACCTTTTTGAATTTTAAAATGTTAAATAGACCTTAGTTTAAAAACAATTTTATATCTTTTACTTTTTGAACACGTTTTGGTGTACCTATGTAATTAATTTATGTGATTGTAGTTCTATCATAATGGTTTTATAATGTATAACCTATTTTATCGTTATAGATTAAAAATTAAATTTAAATTGCTATTATATTTTTACATTTACCTAATATTCTTACACAATATTCATATATGTTTTAGAAATATGGTATAGAAATCTTTTTTTTATGATTATTCCTTCATAGAAATTGTGGCCATTAAAAAATAAAACAATGCAAATAAAAGTTTACAAGTTTACAATTGTAAATATAGATTAATAATTGTTTTTTAAACCGTCTTGAACTCATTTAGTTACTTACCTATATACACGCTGTCCTGCGTCAAGGGGACACTATCTGTATCTGACAAACCAATTAACGGATTTTGTTAAAGATTGGCAGAATTACCTACTAAACAGATTGATCTTTTCGTCTAAATTATGTTTTAATAGTTCTAGAAAATGACATTTTTAGGTAAAACTTTGTATAATAGGGGTGTACCAGAAAAAGCAATAACAATTGCCTAGAAATAGTACAAAACCGAATTCTCAGGAACATAGTTAATGCTCCGGCATCTTCGGAATAAAAACCTACATCGAGAACTTCAAGTTGCATCAATTCCAGAAGAAATAAAGAAAATTACCAAGAGACATGAGGAGTGGCTCCACAAAAACATCAACATTGATGTACTTCAACTTTTAGAACATCATGATCTAGTGCGCAGACTTAAAAGAGTCAAACTTTTTGAGCTTGTGTAATCGAAGCATGGAGGTAGTAGGGAGAGGAGTCGCTACGCGTATACTGAAGTGGTATCACTTGCGCCATATTATTACGATCCTAATGTCACTTGTGACATTTACTTATAAGTTTATAGGAAATAACCATGGAGGTATTGGGCAATATATCATAATTTATTCAGCGGTTGAGTGCCAACTGAGCGCGTCTCCGGGTGGTGGATAGGAGAACGGCCAAGTTTCCCTTGGTTAGTGGTAGACATAAGTAGAGTGCGAGAGCCTAAAAACCCCTTAAAATCTTTTGCGAAGGCTACCGCCGCGAACCAACTCTCCCAATCTAAGGTATAAGGTAACGTGCCGACGAATGAATGGTCGCAGGGGCATATGCAGCAGCAAACACTCCCCTGAGGGAACCTAGCGACACCCTTTTGTATCTAGCCTTGCCGGCGCATGCGGGGCTCTGCGTCGGTCGACCTTCCCTAGCTACTCCTGGAAACCATATGGATTCACAAAAACAAGTACCAAAAGTGGCTGGACGTCAACGCTCACCTCCAGCAAAAGAGACTGGACACCAAAGTCCAACTTCGGCGCAGGAGGCAGGAGAGCGACAATCACCTCAAAAAAAGGAGGAAGGACGTCAACGCTCACCTCCTGCAAAGAAGCCTGGACAAAAAAGTTCAGTTCCCGCACAGGAGGCTCGACAGCGACGCCCATCTTAAAAAAAGAGGATGGACACAGTACTTCACCTCCAACTAACAGGTCCCGGAGAGGCAAAAGAATCTCTGGGTCTGAAGCAAAGAGAAGGAAGGGGGATAAGCTGCAGGCAGGCAGTGCTGCGGCAACCGCCACCCTCAGCAAACCCTCTCACTCCAAATAAAACAAAAGCGGCCTAATCAAGTCCCTAGACAGCGACGCTAGTTCTGCCTCCACAAGAGGCCAGGAACACGACGCAACTAGGGATTAGAAAAGGCCGCGATCTCACACTTCTTCCGAGGTGACGACCCGGAAGGGGAAAAAACTCAGGCAGGACCACAAAGTTCTGTCTGGGATAAGCTACAAGGATGCAGCTACGAGCCACCTAAAAGTAGCTATAATAGACAAGGATAACCCTTACGGTATGATAACTACCGAAAGAGGAATCCTTGTCAAAAGACACTGATGGGAGAGCTGGACAAAACAATCTTGTCCGCCTCCTGCAGCAAAACCAAGCCACCCACATTCAGGTCTTGGTCGCTCTCTGGTGAAATCATCAGAGTAACCTGCGACGATGACCTGACGTTGGAATGGCTAAAAACTAAGGTACCAACCTTAAAAACATGGGAAGGAGCAACACTCGCAGTTTTAAGGATAAACGAGCTCCCCAAGCTCACCAAAGCCTCTCTCTGGATCCCAGGGGAAGCGCAAGCTGACCTTGATGAGAAAAAGGTTGTGCTCAGGCGACTTGAGGGGCAAAACCCAAACTTGCATTTGGCGAAATGGTGCACCTTCCACCATGAAATCAAAAAAGACCCTAGGGGCCATCTCTTCGCCTTCGGCATCGGAGACGAAGATATGGGAACCCTAAAGGCTAAATCAATGCGGATGAGCTATGCGTTCATCTCATTAATTATAAGGCCAAAGGTCGAAAAAGAGGCTGAACCGGGGCCCAGTGAAGACTCCTTGGTAAAAGACTCTCTTCCTACCTAATTTAAGCCAGCAGTGAAGGACGTTGAGCCAAAAAAATAGCAATCGATGACCTCCAGCAAGAGAACTCCGAGGAGCCAAAGGAGATCACCCCCACCTCACTTTCGGAGAAAGGGATGGTCGAATAAATAACCATCTTGCTGCCTAATTTTCAACGGAGGACCGGGAGGCAATAAAAGAGGTAACGATTATACAATATAACTTGCTGTACAAAAGGGTGGCTACGGCAACATTATGCCGCCGCCTTAATGAGCTGCAAGATACAATAGCACTCATCCAGGAACCCTGGATAATAAAAACCAAAATTTTAGGTCTTAAAAATCTAAATGGTTCAATTTTTATCTTTACTAGCAACCAACAACTTAGGAGAGCCATTTATATTCATAGAAAATACAAAACCCACTCAATGGCACACCTCCGATTTACCTGCGGCTAGGATGAAATACGCCATTAAAAGGTAAAAGAGAACGTTAATTCTGGCATCTGCATACCTCCGACGCAACCATGCCACAACCCAGCAAAGAGATGGAGGATCTGATTGAATACTGCCTGGAACAGAAGTTTGAGCTGGTAATAGGTTACGACTCAAACGCTCATCACTTCAGTTGGGACAGTAAGGATAACAACGCTAGAGGTAAGTCACTTTATGATTATATAATTACCAAAAATCTTTGTATTTTAAATAAAGGTACCACAGCAACATTTTTAAACTCTCGCGTCAAACACTAATAGATATCACTTTATCCACAACTGGTATCTATAAATCAATTCTAAACTGGCAAGTATCTGATAACATTTCGATGTCAGACCACCGCTGGTTAACATTCAAAATAAACTTGATGTTGCCGACCTCTACGCTATCTCGAAACCCTAGAAAGACGGACAGGGCAACCTATGTCCACCTTCTCCAAGAGGCTCTGAGAGAGATGGAGGCCGAAACACCAAACAATAATATTGCTTCGGAAAAGTACAAGAACGCTATCCAAAGCACAATTAACAATGCCTATAAGAAATCCTGTCCTCTGAGGCTGGTCCAACACGATCAGACGACTACCTCATGGTGGTGTCACGAGTTGGATCACCTAGGAAATTTTTTATTAATACAAGAACCACTAAACTCAAAAGGGACTGGGATACTTACAAATCTCATCTTAGAAAAATCGTCAGACAAAAACAGAGAGATGCATGGAGATCCTACTGCCAAGAAATCAAAGATTTGTCACAGGCAGCAAGGATTCAAAAAGTAATAATAATAATTGTCATTTATTGAACTGAAAATTTAGTCCAATAGGCTATCGACCGAAGTCCTTGTGCCTACTGCGAAGAAATCGATAATTTCCCGCAGGCAGCGAGACTTCAAAAAGCTCTCTCAAAAAATCCACACCGAAGCATTGGTACGCTAATCAAAGAGGATGGCACGAAAACTGCCAACCTCGAAGATAGCATCAAACTTCTGCTGTTAACACACTTCCCGGACTCGGTCATCATAGACGTGGCGAACTGGGCAGAGGAAGAATACAATCCATCTGTCTATGCTTGGCAAACTGCCAAATATATTGTAGACGATCCAAAAATTAGATGGGCAATATCCAGCTTCTCTCCATTTAAATCGCCAGGACCTGACGGTATATATCCAGCCCTACTTCAGTAGGGTCTGAAAGAACTCACACTACACCTGGTGAGTATATTCAGATCCTCGTTGGCTCTGAGGTATATCCCCCAAAAATGGAGAGAGGTAAAAGTGGTATTTATACCCAAACTTGGAAGGATGAATTACACTGTCCCAAAAACATACCGACCAATTAGTCTGACATCGTTTTCCATGAAGACATTGGAAAGGCTATGCAGAAGGTACATAAGGGTTGCGGTGATTACAGCAACACCACTATACCCAAACCAACATGCATACACCCCAGGCAGATCTACTGATTCAGCCCTCTATTTAGTTGCTGGCCGAATAAAAATATCCCTGGACAATAAGGAGTCCGCCCTGGGTGTTTTCATAGACATAGAAGGTGCTTTTAATAAAACCACCTTCCCAAAGATAACAAACTCACTAACCAACAGGAATGTTCCACAAATGGTTAGTGGGTGGATACATAACATGCTCTCAAAGCGAGCAGTAAACATAAGTGTAAAAGATGTGAATAGAAGAGGCTTGGTTGCAAGGGCATGCCCATAGGAAGGGGTGTTCACCTCTACTGTGAAATGTGGTCCTCATTAGCCGCCTTAATAATGACATTCACTACACAATAGCATATGCAGGTGACCTGGTCAATTTGCAAACAGGGAATTTTGAAAAAATTATAGAACAGTGGTACAAGGACCATTTACTGTCTATCAATCCTAAGAGAGAAATAGTCATTTTCACAAGAAAACGGTTAAAAATGGAATTAAAACCTCCAGAACTCCTAAACACAAAACTAAACTTTGCAACAGAGGTGAAGTACCTAGGTCTCACCTTTGACAGCAAGTTAACATGGAACTCGCATTTAGAAAACAAAGTTAAAAGAGCATACATTGCTTATGAACAATGCCGCCGACTTGTGAGGCGCACCTGGGGTTTCTCCCCCAGAGTCGCCGCATGGACTTACACGGCTGTCATAAGACCTATGCTATCATCTAGTGCAGTTGTCTGGGTACCGAAAACCCAAATATTAACAGCTATCAGTAAACTAGAACAACAGGAGCCATGAAAACAACACGGACTAGAGCCATCGAAGTCATTCTTAGTCTCACCCCCCTTGAAACTTACATCAAGGAGGTTGCTCTGACGACACTGACACGCCTCCGCACGGTCGGAATAGAACCTCATGTAGGATCTGGGGAGGCAAGACGTCACTTTTGACAGGAAGCGCTAGATACGCTTCCACTGTTTCAAGCGAACGTGGACTCTATTTCACCGAAATATATCTTCCATAAGCCATATAAAGTTAAAATAGAACAAATAGAAGAGCCGGAAGTGGCAGGTACGATTCATAACTACACCGACGATTCTAAAACAAAACAAGGCTCAGGATGTGGAATATACTTCAGATTCTTAAACCCAAACATAAAATGGGCTGTGAGCAATAGTACCAATGTAGTTCAAACAGAGCTAACGGGAATTCTCATAGCGGCAAAAGAAATAACCAGAAACAATTTCACTGGAAGGAACATGCTCATCTATACAGATAGCAGACAAGCACTACCCACCCTGAACAGACCACGAATTTATTCAGGGTTAGTACTAGAATGTCACGAAGCTTTGGCCGAAGTATCCATCAACAACGTAGTCACTTTAAGATGGATTAAAGCTCACGCCACATCGAAAGGTAACCGTCTTGCTGATTCACTAGCCAATAAACCAGCCAACCAAATACTTTTTGGACCTGGCCCTTCTATTGGCCTGACAAAATCAGTAGTAACAGACCTAATCACAGAACATTGCCTTGTGAAATTTAACGAAAGATGGGATGACAATACTGCAGCAAACAAATACTTGACTATGGCTAGACAGAATCTGCGCCTACTCACAGGTATTCTGACTGGTCATTGCCAAGTACGAAAGCATCTCCATATCATATGGCTGTCAGAATCCGCACTCTGTAGAGGGTGCGAACAAGAAGATAAGACCATCGAGCATATCCTTTACGATTACTCGACGCTAACAGCGGCCGATATAAGAAAAGCACCTCTTGGCGACGTTGTCAACTACATTAAATTTGTAGGCTGTCTCACGAGCTAGGAGGTGCCTATCTTCTCAGGAGGATGCACAATGGGCCTAATGGGGCCTAAGTGCTATGGGATAACCCACCCTCCACACGTTACAGATACACACAGATATCATAATTTAGTGAACAGTGTCATACTGAAAAAAAAAGAAAATATGATTATCTAAACATTATTATTTACAAACTTCCACAAAATACTAAAAAACTACTAAATGGATACCGTTTTTACATACAGATTATTAGTAGCCGATCAAATGTAGTGTCCTGTGTTCAAGATTTCTAGGAAAAACAATTTGATCGATCTTCGTTGTGTAGAAAATTTTAAAAATTATGATATCAGAATAATTTAGGTGTCTATAATTAAGTTACATTACTATACATATATTTTCTTATTTTTAATTTTAAATGAGGACGGTTTCATTCCAAAAAAGTTTATATAATTTTTTAATTTCGCCAGTTTAAATTTCTGTCTTATCAAGTAATAAATTGTGAAAACTACATTTTAGAACATTCACTTTGTTGCAAGATGAATCTACCTCGATACTATCGTCCTATCATTGTGTTGTTAATATACTGTTTTTGTTTTATTTAACTATGCAGGGTGTTTCAAAAAAACATTTGTAGAAGACAAGTTGTTTCGTTTGAATATAGATTTACAGATGCTTTGTTTCAAAAATACAAGGCGTAATATTGTTTTTAGGTTTTTCAAAATATTTGCGATACGGCAATAATAATTAGAATATTTTGGTTTTACAATTTACTCAAAAAATCAAATATCTAAGCAATAAAAAGGTGTAAATAGGTTTAAAGAAAAATGTACATCTTTAAATTTTTACTTTTTGATAGCACAGTTAGTTAGATATCCAAATGAATATAATAAAAAGTACCAATGTCGGCTTCGTTTAGGAGCTACAACTTTATCAAACTCTGTTAAATATTAATTTAAAAATAAAACCATAAAACAATCTAGTATTTTAGTGTCATCTTTATTGACTTTCTGATACTGTTGATTATTTTCCAAATTTTCCTCTAATTTTTTCTACTGTTTGTGAAATTAAAATACCCTTCATCTTTGAGTAAAGGGGCAGCAACAGTTCGGGGCCATTCCTTATGTAAATTAACATGGGAAATTGCTAAGGTTCATTCTAGCAATTTTTGTCTAAAAGTCCAAAGGTCAATCGAAGTTCGAAGTCTGGGTTATCAGTAAACATGATAACGTCGAAAATCCAAGATGGCGGTAATAGTTGACGTAAACAATGAAAAATAAGCAAAAAATTCAACCTACCCTCC